TAAAAATATTCAATGGAACTAGCATACGAGTCCTATTGTAGTTTGCTTGACGACGGCGTTCAATTGTTACCTTTCAATAGCTGGTGCATAAAGAAAATGGTTTATCCACAGTTTGCTTATTGGAGTACAGTCAAAGAAGTCCATCTTATTTTGCTTACGTTTATCAGGTCTCTGTGTACTTCAAATTTTGATCTATAAATTTGATCTATATTGATCTAAGTATACTTAGATATCTTGAAAAAACTGATACCATGGTTTTTTTCAGTTGATTGAGCTTATTATGCTCAATGGTTATCTGTGCACATTCGAAAGATGGTTTGTTATTCGCAGAATAGTCCACCACTTTAGTTGCATTTAACCCCGGAAAATTTACTGTTAAAAAAACTGTACGAAAATTTTCAGCAATCGCTATTAATCAAAGCCATGAACAATGCAACGCAGCAGTTAAAGGCAATGGTGATGCTATTGGTTTAACACAAGAGGAACACGCATTACGTCGTTGGATGATAACAGGACCGGAAGTATCTAGGCTTATTGAGGAATTTCAATATGGAATACGTGAGACCAATGCAGATTGCAGACACCATGATCAATTAGAAGGGTATTCAGACAGCTTTCAAAAAAGATGTAAATACCCTAGTTGATATACTTGTTGATATGGGCAACCCATTTCAAGCTGAAAGTGAAGATATTTTGGTATTACATAGCAGGCGTGTTGTGAGCTGTACTGCAGCCAATATTATTTTAAGTCTTGATGTACGCCAGTCTCAGTACAAAGATTTTTTTCAAAATTGCTTTGTTAACAGAACTACTAGGTGTACACACCCATAAAACGCAACAATTTGTCCTCATTTACAACTCGGCAATCAGCAATTGTGTCTAATATTAGCAAGCGTTTGAAATCCACGCAAAGTAATTGTGACTGTTTTTCTAGGTTATACATTGGCTGCGAAACTAGAGACAGGAGTTTGGAAGCATTTTTTGAGCATGAAAATCAGTCATATCCTCCTTCAATCTTTGAGTTTGAGTTTCTACGATTCGGAGCCAAGTCTGATTTGGTTCCATGCTTAGAAAAATTACCCAAATCATTGGTATTGATCCTTCCACACCTTCATTTGGTATGATGGCTCTTGATGGAGCTTTGATTGTTCAGTTATTGAAGCCTGGTAAGGATAAGACTTTTGCAATTTATTCATTAGACATATTCCTTCTTCATCTCCTTTTACAAATCGCCACAACGCAACGGCTAGATCTTGTCTGGTAAACCTATAAAGCTCATATCTTGAAATCTACTACACGTGCAAAACAAGGAACTGGAACCAGAGTAGGTGTTGGATCTCAAGTTCCTGTCCCACATAAATGGCAGGAATTTCTAAAGGATGATCTCAAAAAAACAGAGCTTTTTCAATTTTTATCTGAAAAAGCAGTTTCAATTCAATTACCAGAGTCAAAAGTTATAATAGCCACCGCTGTGGAACATCTTCTATCTTCTAGCTCTCGTACCTTCGATAATCGTGAATCATGTTTTCATGAAGAAACTGATTTTACATGCATATGATGCAGCAAAGGCTGATTACAAGAATATTGCAATAAGCACAGTAGATACAGATGTTATTATTATAGCAATATCTTTTTGACACAAAATATATGCAATCAGCTGTGGATTGCATTTGGCATTGGAATGTATTTCCGTTACATTGCAGTACATGAAAAAACCAACATTTTAGACCATTTAAAAATTTTTTATTTAGGTGTTTAAAATTTATTAAGGTTTTTAGAAATCCAAGATGGCGGAAACTGCCATCATGGATTTAAGTCTGCCATACTATGGTTTGCCACCATATCTTAAAATGATCAGCATAATTTTCTGAGTTGTTGCTAAAGATTTTATGCTTTTATCCACTTGTGCACAATTTCAGTCATTTTTAATATTAATCTGCTGCACTAAAAGTTAACATCTGTTTGATGTCTAATCAACAACAATTTGACGCCCGGTTATTTTTGCTTACATTGGTAAGGTAAATTAAAGTATTATGAACACCTTAAGCAATAGTTGGAATATTTTCAAAAATTAATTATGCTAGATCCAAAAATTTTGCGAAAACTTTTAAGGGATTATTACTTATGATCCACTTAGATTTTGGGCAAATCTTTCTTAAAAACACAGAGGCTTTAAAAAGTAGCAAAAGCCTTTTTTTTTTAAATTGTTTTTCAAAAGCATTCAAAAAGAAATTAATACCACTGCAATTTTAGAACTTAAAACGAGATATTTTCAATAAAAAAAACAACGGGTAATTTGAGTATGCTTATATTACACAAAAATGGTATCTTTAAATGAAGTCAAAAATAAATATTTCTATGCATTGTTTTCCAAACAAAAATGGAAAGGATTTCTAATTAATATGTTTGTCTTAATAAAAAAACAAATATCTATATTTCAACTTCAAAATTTTGCGCCACCGATTTTTATGTGTAATGATAATATTTTAACAACACAAAAAATTAAAAAATGTTTTGATTAGATGAGAGCCGCTAATTACTGTGTATAACTAAGCTAATTATACTGCTTCCTGTTATTACCACATAAAGTCAATTCAAAGTAACTTGAACCTCACTGCTCAGATCTTAGAAATCTTTTGGTATGCTCATATAACCTAGCTGCTCATTTAAACCAAATCTATCCTACAGCATTTTTATTAATTTCAAAACATTGATAAGATTGTCAATTTAATCTTAAACAATTTTTTGATGTTAAGGTTTTCCAAGAAAACTCGTCTTGCCAGAAATTTGCCTTAATTGAGGAAGCTGCTGAGGAAGCTGCTGGGTTCTTATACACCGATGCTACTTTAATGGTTTAGAATAACACCTGATCAATCATCTTTTGATTTTATGGTCAAACACTTTAACCACTACGCAAAAGCGGCCTCTTCAAGCAAAAAAATTAAAATTTTTGAAATAAGTATAAATATATTAAAAAAAAAAATTAATACAATCAAAAATAATTTTAAAAAGTTTGCTTTTATAACTTTGTGACAAAATCAACTTTTTTTTACATTTAAAATTTAGGTTATTGATATCTTGATATAATTGTGTTTAATATATAAAGGATCGTTCATAAACTATGTAAACAACTTTAGAAAAATAAAAAAACTACAGCAAAAAATTATAACGATTATTAGCTATCATTATGATTATTAAAAGTTTTATTAACTATTATGTACTTACAACAATAATAAATTAGATGTTTTAAGTTTTACTTTTAATTTTCAAAAAGTTGTGAACGGTTTCTTGAATGGCACTTTTTGAATGGTAGTAAATTTTTTTTTTTTTTTTTTTTTTTTTACAACTTCAATATACACTTCATTACGTTACAATTCTATCATATAATTTAATGCAAAGAGTAAAATATATAACATAACATAAGAATACGTAATTTAACAATTATAATAAAATATAACGTTAGATTAATAAACACTGTTTTTTTTTTTAAATAAAAACTATTGTTTCTTCAAATATAAACATGTTGTTGTAAAGGAGACTCGCAGAAGACTATGAAGTCTTATCATCAAGTACCTTTTCAAATGGTTAAATAAATTTAATTAATTTTTATATATAGTTAAAAGTGGTTAAACAATACACAGTCAGTGATACACATAAACATTTTAGTATAAATCTTGTTGTTAAGTTTAATACATGTCAATAAAATTTTTGATATTAAGTATGAGGTGTTTTAATTTTTTTTTCAAGGTGGCAGAATTATTTAATGCTTTAAGTTCTATATTTTCGGATATTATTTTGTTATATAGGTACGGACCCCGGTAGGAAATAGAGAATCGTGAGAACTTTGTTGTTTTTTTTGGTAATGTGAAGTTCCCTGTTGCTCTTGTGGTATATCTATTAGAGTTAATTTGAAAAAAGTTATCTAAAAAATGCGATGGGACTAGTCCAAGATTGTATTTAAGCATGAAAAGAATATTTTGATAGATGTTGATTTGGTAAACATTCAGTGCATTTAGGGTTTTTAGTAAAGGTTCAGCATGGGTGAGTTTATATTTATTATAAACTAATCTTGATGCATGTTTTTGACTTAAATAAAGAGTATTTAACTTGGATTTGTGTGTACTTGCCCATGCAATATTAGCGTACGTAAGATAACTTTGGATGTAAGAAAAATAAAGAGATTTAAGATTATCTTGGGACAACATAGGTTTAACTTTGTAAAGTATCCCAATATTTTTTGAAATTTTGGTGTTTATTGTACTAATATGGGCTCTCCAAGTTATATTTTCGTCAATAAGTATCCCAAGAAATTTTGTTGTTTCTGTTCTTTTAATGTTTACCTTATCTATTTTTAGTGGGGGAAGTATAGTTGGTATATTATTTTTTTGTTTTTTGGAATGAAACAATATATATTTTGTTTTTTCTGTATTTAGTGATAACTTATTTAATTTCAACCAGATGTTTAATTTTTCAAGCTCTTTGTTCATACATTCATAAAGGTTTTTGATTGAGTTCGAGGAATAAAATAAATTTGTGTCGTCGGCAAACATTATAACATCAAGTTTTTTCGAGGTTTTTGTAAGGTCGTTAATATATAGAAGAAACAGAAGGGGTCCAAGAATGGAACCTTGGGGGACACCGCACTCTATTCTTAGTAGTTTTGAGTGTTTATAATTGTCTGAAATAACACATTGTTGCCTATTGCTTAGGTAGTTTTTGAACCAGTCAAGAGTGATGTTTTTTACTCCATAGTAAATTTGTTTTCTATATTCAATTGTCAAAATCATTATTAGAAGACACAACTCACATTTTTCTAAATAAATTTAAAATATAGGTTTTGTTACAGTAAACATTATTTTAAATTGGTAGATTCAAAGTATACTTTTAATAAAAGTTATATTTAATTTTAATAAAAAATATTAACATAATTTTGCAAAAATCAATCAGTTGCGGAATTCGTTAAAAGTTTTAAAAATAGACGTGTGCTAATTAAAAACTTATTAAAAAAAGTTGTCGGTTGCCGTACATTATAAACACATTTACAACTAAGTACAAGAAAAAAACCTAAAATCTAAATAAAATCAGAAAGCGTTTTTATAAACGGGAGCTTAGTCTATTTTTTCCTAAATAAAGTTTTCTTTTTACTTGGATTCTTTATTGAAAAAGGTACAAATTTATTTATGTTAGTATTAGCAAAAAAAATGTTTATCATTTTCATTTACGATTACAAAATTTTTGAGGTTTAATTTATAAGGGCCGTCTCAAAGAGATCTTAAAAGCGGGATGGGGATGACGTATCTGTATTTTACTAAAAAAACAACTTTTAAATAAAAGGTTCCCGTTGTCTGACATTTGCCAAATGTCGACTAAAGATCCGAACTTGCCGACTACAGGTCCTAAATTGCCGATTAATTTTTGAATAATGTTTTCATAGGGGATACGTCCCTACGCCCCCTCCTAGAAACGGCTCTGCAAACTATACTTCGCTTGATAATTACTTTTTTTACTTTTTTTAAAACATGTAAAATATGACTTAGCTCCTTTTACAAAAACGTTATTTAATTGTTAAATTGTATAGAAATCATTCTTTCCGACATCAAAAACTTGCATATAATCCATTTTGGTAATAATATCTTTCATATCTTTTCGTTCCATAGATTAAGAAATAAAAACAAAAATTTTTTTAAATTTTAACTCAGACTTTTTAACGAATGATTATTATTAATAGATTGATTTCTGATTTAAAATGGTAATTAATGAAGC